AGTTTTTGTTATGGACAAGCTGGAAAAGGAAAAGTTGAAGTTCATTTGTGTCGCTGCTGCTTATACAGATAAAAATAACTTCCATTGCACTGAATTGCATGAACTGTTACTTTGAATCACAAACTCTGTCCTGAATTGGAAATGTTGCCGGGAGCGTTGAGCTCACAGCTTGGGGCAGTGGAAACTCTTGATCCTATTAACACAACAGCAACAGCAGAGGAGAAATAATAGCATGAATACATTTTGAGTGAACCGTAACAACAGCACTGGCACTAGAGGTGACCGTTGTGGTCCATCTATATTGTAGACTGCTAAAATTTGCGATCTTGGATCGATGTGGCAATAATAGCAATTACAGTATATTCTTGCGCTATGTTTTTGAGGGGGGGAAAAAAAGCTAAATACTGCAGTGACCTGTCCAAAAATATAAAAGTGAGATATGAATCTATTGTGTGTAATTATGACCCATCAGTGCACGTTGGCCGTATCGGGGCATGATTTGTAGACCATTGATCAGTGGATCCTTGCAATCTTGTGAACATTTTCTGACTGCTGTGAATTGACTTTAATGCAAATGTGTTCAGCAGAAAAATGCATGTACAGCTGAATGTGAATTTAGCTCACAGGCGTTGTTCTTCTGTGTACCACAACGTAATAGAGACGGAGTCATCATCGCCTCTGCTGGTGGCAACCACACGGTGCTCGCCGTTTTGCCTCAGTTGCTGCACTTCAGAATTGATGAACAATCAATTGCACACAATCGGCATAATTCATGTTGATCACTGGATCCATTATTACGCCTATCCCGACATACAACCAATTAATTTTGTGCGTTCCATCCAGAAGAGTGAGGCATACAAAACCAAATACAGTCTTTCCTCCTTTGGCAAGGGTGAGAGAGTAACATGGATAAAGCTTTGGCATTGGGCCAAATCTGCGGAGTCCGAGAAGTCAGAGCACAGAGTCAGAAGTGGTCTAGTGGCCTGCTGCTCTTTGTCCTGTATTTTCTACCCTGCGTCAACAGGAAACGGTTATCCTTTTCTCCGTAACTCCTTCCCTGCGGCTGTCATTTTGGGTCTGCCTTGGTCACTGTTTGTTCCTCTTCCTCTCCTCGCCTCCCCTATGCGAGCACATACAATATGTCCAGCAAATGACATCTCCCCCACTTTCCAATGCACGTCCCCTTCAGAGAATCACAACAGGTCGTGGCCCTTTTCATACAGCAACAGTGAGACAAAGTGGCACCTCAAAGCAGGATGGACCGTCACATTGCCTATTTTCCCCTTGCACTTTTCCTCGAATTCCTGTTTTTTGCTGCCCGGGCTTCCTCCAGAACTGTCAAGTTCCACTTACACTTGCCTGTAATATGGTTGTTGTAATTTATATACATAGATATATTTTTTTTACCCTTCACCACTCTGTTTTTTTTGCATAGAGTAGGTGTTATAGAGAGTTCATCTGCTGCTGGCGGCCTACCCTGGTCCTCCTTTCACACGTCAGTGAAGCGACAACTTGAATGCGGAGGCCCGTAAGGAGGCAGAAGCACACGGCCACATGACACTTTGTTGTTGTGAATACAAACATGACATGTGATGTCTCCCTCTGTTACAGCGTATGTTACACACAGAATCATATAACACTTGGAGACACCCAGACACAAACCACGCGTACGCACATCAGGGTGTTGGCAAACTAGGACAAGTTCCCGAGGCCCATTTCCATCCTTCAGTTCGGTCAAAATTGGTCGTTTCTCCGTCTGGAAAGGGTCCCAAAGGACAGAATCCCCTAAGATAGACAAAATCCAAAGTAGCAGCCACGTAGAGTATTATATTTGATTTGATTTGTATATATTTTAAAGCTTTTGTGCATTTCAATGCTTGGCTGTGGCTGTTGGGTCATCACTAATATGAGCCACTGTCACAGTTTGCTAGCTCGACTCATACTGCCCGATAGACAAGGAGTCACCACCCTCTTGTAACTGAGCGACTTTTTGGGTAGGGAAGGGCTACCAGTTTGATACACACTTGTGAGAATAACAAATTTGTCCGGAATACCAAACGTATTATTATACACTAGGTTATTATTAATGATATTCATTTATGTGGAGACGTTGATGTTGTTAATGATTTCTCAGAATAATTCGGAAACGGATAAATATCAACACGCAACGCTTCATTTTTAAAACTCTGCTGGTGTTTACAAATGATCACGTCGACAACATTCTTCGAAAATCACAATGTCCCATCACTGGTGAACTCTTTTTAGAACAGGGCCGTGGGCTACTTATGTGGTCCTAGCGGGCTACCGAGTGATCACGGTCCCCACATAGATTTTCTTGTTTAAATGTCGACGTGTCTTTAAAGACAGGCGTTCTTTCTTTTCGTCACTTGTACAGTTTGTCAGCCTGCCTCAGCCATTGGCCTTTGAGATTAAGAAATTATGTCGACACTGACTGAATAGAAGACTCGTGGGTGAAGAGTTTGTTGTTCTGTTGGCACAGAGATGGCAGGATGAGGCCCCGCAAGCTCACCTCCATCCTTGGCTTTCACGCAGACACTGTAAGTCCGCGGTCCGCAACATTTTTTGCCCCACAGATCGGTTTAATGTCAGACAATATCTTCAGGGACCGGTCTTTAAGGTGTGGTGGATAAATACAACACAATAATGATATGACCTGTATGATACTGTGGTATTTTCTAAACATAATAATAAACACAAATCATGACACGAGGAACGTCCTATTTGGCCGCAACACCTCCTGGTCGCTCTGATAATGTTTAAACGTGCCTTCAAAATAAGATACACCGCAAATACAAAGTGCATGAAAAATACGGCTCACCATCGCCGCATATTATGCAGAGTGGGCTGGGTGCGTGGGAATCTCCCATTGAATCGTATTTTAAGTAGGACTCCTGATATTGTCTATTAAATGTAGCCTTCTTTTTTTTCTCCTGGCTGGACTTTTTCCCCTTCCCAAAGAAACTTTCCAAAGACGTTTGTTTTTTACTCATTTCACTAGCTCCTGGGTTTCATGTTTTGCGGTAACCTATCATGTGACCGAGAAGCGCGCCTGACCTGCGTCAAGAGTGACATACTGTAGACAGATGTAACAGAGAATCTGATAATTTTTTCAAAATAAAACATCTTTCAGATTTTGAAATGAATAAAACGGAAGTAATGTAAGTTATTTATTCTTTCTGTGCGGCCTGGTAACAAATAACTCACGGACCGGCACCGGTCCGCGGCCCGGTGGTTGGGGACCTCTGCTATAAGTGATGGAATCTAAACATTTTACCTGCACAAGTCAGTTCAGCGAAATGTTTATCAGGTTAGTTCAGTTACCGAAATGAGTTTTTTTCCTCCCAGTCCCAGATGCTTCGGCCTGCTTGGCAGCCAGTTTAAGACAGATGGGCTGCTTAGGTCTCATTACACTGGAGGACACCCTCTGCTCTGCCATTATGTTTTTTGCATTATTGTTTTATCGTGTTTACAGCGTTTGAGCTTATCCTCATCGTGTGACTCACTCTTTGTTATTTTCCTGCTTATCGCACACTATTGCAGCATTGGACTGACAGATCTGACTTTCTTTTTTTTTAATCTGAAGGCAGTGATAAAGCTGCACTGTGGTTTGATCTGCAGCATGTGTCTGATGGATATTTATAGAGGTACTTGCTTGTCGTGCTTCAAATTTGCACATGGTTGACAGAAATGTATATCCTGCTTTGTGGAGGCCTAAAGCGTGGAAGAGAAAATCAAAATAGCAATGGAACAAGCGTGAGGAAGATGATGTGCAATTGTGATTCAGTTAGGAGGGGACGAGACAGACAGACAGAGAGACAGCTTTGGTGGCTTTCTGAAACACACCAGCACTGCAGCACAGCCCACTAATGCAGCTGGCAGGAAGAGATTTATGATATCATGCTTCTTGTGGTACAACATACAGGCCGGCAATCTAAAGCCCCGGTAGGCCAGAGTGATGACTTGGCTTTAAAGTAGGCCAAGAACTAGATTGAGCGCGCGCACACATGCATGATGATGCCCACACTGAGTCACAGTCACTGTCATCTACGGTCTCTCTGGATTTTTCAAAAATAGACGTTAAATCCAGTGAAATGAGCAGCACCGAGTTGTCAATCTCTCTGTTGCGCCATCTGCATCGCTTTTCATCATGCATCAAGACACTCAGAGTCTGTGGTTATGTGTGACCTTAGGGTCTGCTTACAAGGACGACGGCTGATTGATTTCTGACAATGTAGAAATGAACACAAGTTGTTAATGATTGATGGTTGCAGACGTTTCAAGGTCCACTTTCCATTCGTCGAATGATGATACATTTCCACTGATAAGGGAAGTGTCGGTTAACTGCAAATATGGGTTGCAACACCGGCAGTTGAAGAGGTGAGTGATCTGAGTATTCTGAAAGCACAACCAGGAAATCTGTTTCAGGTTGTCGAGTACGGCATTTTCACCCTGGTCTTCCTGTGTATGTTTTGTGGCTTTGCGTCCCCAGAGGTGAAAATGGAGCGCTTTGGTCTCTTTCCAGGCCTTGCACAGTGCATTTTAATACATCTGGACTGATAAGGACGGGGAGTTATTTCTGAAGATCCTCACACGTTATTACAGTTTTGATTTGCATTTCTTTTTTTTTTTTTTTTTTTTTTTTTGTAACTTAGTGTGATTTGTGTATCTCACCAAATGACTGAGCCTCATCCTATGAACCTAAATTGGACAGTCAGCATTCAGAGCCTTATTTCTCTTTGTTGCCCCAAACCTGTTGGACAAGTTCATTCAGTTCTTGGACTGGAAACACTCAATAGGCAAAACCCATTTTCAAGACAATGTCATTATTGTTCCTCTTGCAGACACTTTTCACTTACCACTCTTCGCAATCCTTGTTGTGTGACTCGCATATGTAAAATGAAGTAAGACTCAGTTCCTTTCATCGTTTTCTTTGCAGCTACAATGTTACATCTGGTCCGTTTCTGTCTGGTTTCCTCCAGGAGCATGTTGGAGTGACGCGAAAAGGAGGAAGTGGGATCTCTGACGCCCTGCCTTCTTTACTGGTGGAGCCCCTTTGCATCTGACCAGAGGCCCCCTGGACAGGTATGAGTTAATGGGAGAGTTTACAGCAGGGGGTGCCCAACCGGTCGATTGCACCTTTGATAACCGAGCCATTTACAAGGTAAATCCTGCAGGCAGTGCCTGGCAGCGTGGCAAAGCCGGCAAAGAACAGTTGACACACTGCCAAAAAAAATGCTGCTTCAAACATCCCCCTTTGCTCATGTTTTGACTTCATTTGGATGTGTATTGATGAGTGACTTTACACCTGTTAGCGCATGATGTGGCTCCTGGTGTGATTTGTGACCATACTTATCATTTTTCTCTTTTAATAATGACGGGAAGATAGAGGAGCAATCACACTATCGCGGTGTTATGCATTCCAGGAAGAACAGTACAGCCCGGGGTGTGTGTAGCCCTGTGTCAGTAATCTGTATTGACTTTGGCTGGGAACGTCTAAGTGATGAGAGTATTTAATTCCACTTTGTGCCCATGCGGAGCTTTAAATTGCTAATCAATTTGAGCTGGTTTTTCGCTTTTGTGGGCACTTTCCTTCATTGTTTTCTTTTTCTGTCTGACTCTCATTATCTTTGGTGTGGATACATTTGAATAATACCTTTTAGTACGTAACCTTTTGTTGGCATTTTTTTTTTTTTTTTTTTTCAGGGCCAATACCGATTAAAAGAAGTCAAGGTAGATAATGATAATTTGGACACAATACTATTGTGCAGTAAATGGGAAAACACTGGTGTCACAATTAAAAAGCAACAATTCCATCTGACTTTGTTGAAATGTCGTTAAGCATGTTTGTCAAGATTAACCGTTTCAAATTCATAACATGTTGAAGTTTGTTTGACAAAGTAATTTTAGACAGAGAATAGATAGCTTTGTTTTAAAAGGCAAACAAAAAGTGCAGCGAGATTCCAGTGTCATCGTCATGTCTTAAATGTAAGTTTTGAAGTTTTCTGCAGTACAGTGATCCCTCGCTATTTTGCGGCTCGTTTATCGCAGCTTCAGTGCATCGCGGATTTTTTCAAACATATTCATTAAAATGTTTTTTTTTTTTTTTTAAGTTCGCAAAAGATCCGCGAGAAGCAGCGAAAGTCAGCAAAACAACAGCGAGTCACATAGAGCAACATATACAGCACTACGTGTATGTTTACTGTATTTTGTTATTCATAAAATAACCTCACGTATACATGTTTAAATCTATTAATATACAGCATTAAGTCATGTTAATTACTTCAAAATTTACTTCTACATGCATGTATACCATTAAATTTGGCCTTATAAATATTATCTACATGTACCTATATGGAGGGGGCGGGGGGTCGCTACTTCGCGGATTTTCGTTTATCGCGGGTGGTTTTGGTCCCCATTAACCGCGATAAACGAGGGATTACTGTAAATGCTTTTCCACAATTTCAGTATAACTGAAATCTTAAACTTTCATGTTTATTTGTCTTAAATTTCAAGCAAAAGTGCATCGGGTTCACATTGTTAGTAACATGTCTTATAGAGTTAAGTGAAGTTAAATACTGTACTCTCAAGTCACCGTCTTTTCACGACCATATGGCGCACCGTATTAAGAGTGTCAGTTACGGGGTGCTATTTCTCTATTTCACACATACACGAGATTCACTCTGTGCATGGTAAAACGTACGCTAGCTGAAAAAAAATACAGTAGCATGCATGCACGCTCGCGTGTGTTTTTATACTATCGTGTTATACTTGATTGAGATATTTAAAAATGTACTTACATTATTATTTTTTTGTTTTCTTTTGATCAATCATCATCCACAAATCCATCAAGGTCCTCATCTTCTGTATCCAAAATGAACAACTGGGGAAGTTCTCCCTCAAACACGCCGCGTTCCCTCGCGTCATTTCCAGAGTCAATCTCTTTGCCGTGCGGCTCCTCAGAAATGCTGCCGGCTTTTTGCGAAAGCTCGAACAACAATGCAAGCAGACGACATATTAGCCCAAGCATCCACAATCCGGTCACAAATTGTGGCAAAACTCGCCCGGCACTGCCTCCCAGTCTTCGGCAAACAAATTCCTTAAAACTTTTGATTTGATGTACATGTATTGACTAAATTTTTCGATTCTTCATAACCTACACAACAGCAGCACTCACTTCACCGATATACAGTTATAACAAAATGCTTGACCTTCTTTTTATGTGGAGTACACAGAGAATCTCAAGTCAAATTCATCATTAAGTGCACTTATGAGATTGTTGGGCAGTGATGATAAACATTAAGCCATACATTGTCCAAACATAAATCTTCTGGTCCTTGGCTTCCTTTCCTTCTTTTTCCTTTGCTTCCTTTTTGGCCTGCCACTTGTTTGGCTGTTAAGTCCGTGGCCTAGTTATGAGGTGACCCCAGCCCCTTTGCCCTTTCTGTCTGTGTTACTCCGCCACTATGGTTGAATGTGAACCTATGGGCCATTTTCTTCTGTTTGACTTCCTTAAAATTAGCCTGCGCCTTGTTCTGCTCTAGTTGAGGCGCTACGACAGTTCACTCAACATTTCCATCAGTGTTGTACTGGAAACTGTTGAGTTCATGGCTCCCGCATGACCTGGGGATAGCATGTTGACTGAACTTTGCTCCGTTTTGTTCATTTTCAGCGCATCACCATTCTACAGTCAGTCATTTATAACATCACAGTGCACCCCTTTCATTGGAGCTCACACATACAAACACCGTCTTTCCGTCTCCGTTTCTTCATTTCATTTACTTACAGGATATGAATATTGCATCTACTGAAGGGCGCTTCCTCCCTCGCAGTCATATAATTACGAAGAAACTAACGCTCTGGATCCTCTCCTTGTGCAACATCTGAAGCAGGCTTAAGTCTGCAGAGAAGAGGAGTGGATTGGAAGAGACAGGGGAGGGCGCAAAGGGGAAATTGTACACAACGTAACGATGGCAACCGCTCTCGAAAACGTGTGAGGCGGCTGAGAGATAAATGCAGATGCCCGGGATGGGGATGTAAAAGACGGATAGAGTGATGATGACATGTTAATGGAGAAGGAAGGTAGAGCGCAGACCTGTGTGCTTAATATCACAGAAAGGCTGGCTTTTTAAATTAGGCATCAAAGAGCCTAGGATGGGACCAGCATAAACTAAACTGACACACAATTACAAATGCAACACAGCCACATAGATAACTCACTGAATCCTATTCCCGAACAACCGGTACCGTTTGGCTCAGTTTGTTTCCCTTTACCACCGCCCCAATTGGTATAGCAACTGACGCGCTTTGGTACATTTTACAGGGCTCGAGACTAACTTTGTGCAATTTTTTTTCTTTGATGCACTAACACAAAAGTTAAATGCACCCATATTTTTGACCGCATCCCATTAAACGAGGCAGATTTCTCGGTTTTGTCAAATAATTGCTGGTTGTCTTTTGAAGCAATGATGACTGGTAAATAATCAAATTAACAAGCTGGTCATCATAAAGTTTTTTATTTGGAGCACAATTCCACAAGAGAGGTAACTTGCTGGTTGCTCTGTGTCGTGGGTTGGTTATGACTTTTGAACATCGTAACATTCAATAAGCTGTCGGTCATTCTTATTATCTTGTCATTCGCAGCTATTTCCAATCTACATCTGATGGCCTTCAACTCACCTCGACCTGAACCATATATTTTCCCAGAAACTCTCTGTAATAAATGATAATATTGATGTGGGTTTTTTTCGGGGGCGGGGGGGTTGTTTGTTTGTTTTTTATGCTACTAGTATGATGGCACGTCATTCAAATCAAGTGTATCCTTTTGATGATCTGATGGCGACTGGTTGGTGTCATACTTGCAGTGTAGCCACTCGCCCAGTCTGACACACACAAAACGACTTTATGACACCATGTCAGCTTATGTGTCATATTTCGAGCTTCTCGTTTCTCGCGGTACACGCATCTCCGAATGCATGCACGTACGTACAAACGCACGTACGCACAGAAAGCTCCTCCCCCGAGCCCTTGTAGAACCGCCGCACTCACAATCCAGTCTTTGGCCCTGGCGGGAGAACAAGCAGATCTTCACTCTATCATTCTGCTTTGCATGGCACTTTGTGGCACTGCAATCCTATCAGGTGGAATTTAGAAACGCTGCTCTGCAGTTCTACATCCTCCCGAGCTTAAGTAAGCGAGGCTGCAGCCAGGTTAGTTGTGCACAAACACCTTTTTGTCTTCCAGCGACGAGGGAGAAATCGCCATGGCCAAATTAATTTTCTTCCTTCTGCTCGTGCTGCTGTAACCTGAGGGATGACTGAGGCAGTGAGTCAGTTCGAGCGGAGGAGATGGTGCTGCAAGAGAGGCGGAAAGGAGAGCAGAGGAATTTTAATGTGGCTCTGTCTGTCTGTCGCTGCCTGCCAAAGAAAAGCAATTACTGTCACAGCTTCTCTCGCGCCGCTTTGAGAGTGTTTATGTTGTGTGTGTGTGTGTGTACGCATGTGATGGTGCTTGAGCGCACAGGGATTTTCCGTGTTGCATGTACAAATGGCAAATTGGCTTATACACACCAGGTTATTTAGGAACTCTGATGGAGATCTCCTCCCTCACAGAGCATATTCCTAACCCTTCCTTCAGGCCCGCATGCGCTGCAAAAATCCCAAAATGCACGCCAGCAATCAAAAGGACAAAACATTTAACAAGGAATGTCGAAAACAGTCGGTGATCAAATAAAGGTGAATTCACAGAGGGCTTCGGTGCAGTAGCTCGCTTCCTGTTACATGCAGAGCAGCTGCGGGCCACGACGCGGTCTGTCAAATCTACACTGCGCGAGTGTTTGGTCGGATTCGACATGCAACGTCACCTGGAGCTTTTTAGTTTCACATGCTTTACACCATGTTGTCAGATTCTTCCCAGAAGTAAAGCCTCACTTGGAACTCTTCAAGGCAACTTCTCCTCTGGCGCGATCTTGCTCGTATTATGAGGAATTTAAGTAGCGTTGCTTTAACATATGACTAAAGGTGTCGTCATTTTGGGCTCACCCAAACTGTGCAACAATCCCACTTTTGAGGGAGGATGGTCCAAATGACCACATCGCCTTACATTGACTGTTCCCTGGAAAATACGCAGCCATCGTTTTGCAGCAGTTAAAATATTGTTCCATCTAAAGCTCAGTTAGCGGAAACAAACTTCCTCTCAGTTATTGTGTGGTATGTTTTTAATAATGTAACAATGCCCCACATCACTTTCATAGTCTTTCGAAATGGGACGAACCAGCCCGCTTGTAAACGGCAACTCGGGCAGACCGACAGAAGGACAGACAGTGATGCTGAGAAGATGAACTGCAGGAGGGCTTGCCAGTTGAGGGGAACGAGCAGAAAAATACATAAAGCGATAAGTGACTGCTTCATTGGGCTCCCACATTCACCCCGTCGTAAACCGCTTCTGTTTTTCGGTCTTTCTCTCAGGTGACGTTACCAGGATGCGGAGGTTCGCCTACTGCAAAGTGGTCCTGGCCACCTCTCTGGTGTGGGTGATGCTGGACATGTTCATCCTGCTCTACTTCAGCGAATGCAACAAGTGCGACGACAGGAAGGAGCGAGGACTGCCCGGTAGAGACGGTGAGTATTCACATCTAACACATTGCCCACGGAGAAATCGTCAAACATGCTCAACAACTCTTTGCATTCTTCTCCAGACCCCCTGGCGAGGCCGCGGGACGGGCCCGGGGAGGGGGGGAAGCCTGTGGTGATCCCAAAGGAGAACCAGGAGAAGATGAAGGAGATGTTTAAGATCAACCAGTTCAACCTCATGGCCTCTGAGATGATTGCGCTCAATCGTTCATTACCTGACGTCCGGCTCGAAGGGTGAGCGTCCTGCATGCTCCTGATTGGCCGTCTTTAGAATTAAAGTCAGATTTGCTCATTGATGACTTGGCTACCCGTTTTGTGGGTTTAGTATGCAGTGGTGTAAAACTACCCCGCATCATATCGGCGAATATATTACCCCACTTATGTTGCTAAGTAAAGTTCAAACAGTGCTCAGCATGATATAGTGCAGTTCTAAAACGCTGTAAAATAGTGTTCAACCACAAAATGTGAACATACCCGTTGTTATACGTAATGTCCTATTATATTTAGGGATGCACCACTACCGGTATTGACTGCTGATACTGTGACGCCGATACCATTGTACTAGTCTGACGTTTCCCCACCAGGGCGGGTTGAGTGGGAACCATGTTAGTCATATGGAAAAACCTTCCATTACCGCATTATCGAGTGTCAGTACACTTAGGCAAGTGCTCAAAAATTTAAGTACTTGTGTTCGTATTTGGTCTGATAATAGTAGTAACTGTAGATCGGGGGTGTCAAACTCATTTTTGTCGCGGGCCACATTGTAGTTACGGTTTCCCTTGGAGGGCCGTTATGAATTTTTGGAAACCATATAAATGTTTAATCCCCTCCACATATGACATACACAGTGCACAACAAATTGATGAATATCTAGCTTCATGGAACTTGACATGCTTGATTTGCTTTCGCGGGCCACATAAAATGATGTGGCGGCCCAGATTTGGCCCCCGGGCCTTGACTTTGACACCTGTGCTGTAGATCCTTGATGGTGGTGTTTTGTGCAAATGCATTTGACTTGTGGTCTCTATACACTCCAGAAACACAAGTGGACAAATAATGAGGGCTTTTGGTCGGAATATTGACGGACAGGCAAGGGCACTCACATGCACACACACTCAAGAGACTACATAGAAAGAAGACATTGATCCGTGAAATGTGTTTGAGTCTTTGAACAAGAGTTGATTAGTAGCTTGGTTTTCCCCTCAGCCTCCTCACCATCTATCTGCTTTTCCAATTAGGAGATAAGACCAAGTCAATATCGACACTGCACGCGCGCGCGTGTGTGTCTGGTTGAGGGAAACCGATGAATGAATTTTTACATAGGTCACCATTAGCTCAAACTACAGAGCGTGAAGACATTGGCAGTTTTTCATTTTTGTCAGCAGGGCCATTCAGAGTGAAAGGAATGAGCGGGGATAGGCCATTTTGACATTACAGTCCTGTGCGCGCGTGCGTGTTTAATAGAATAGTGTGTGTTGGAGCACATGTGCGACCAAATGGGTGGATCTCTCCCATGTGAATGTTTTCCATGACCTGTTTGACCTTTTTTTACATTCTGACTGCTTCATTTTTATTTCATTTTATTTTTTTTTATGAGACAGCCATATTTTCATGTCAATATTTGTGTGATGTTTCACTGTCGACCAAGCCCTCCACTCCTTGTCCAACCTGTGACTATTTATGCACATTTTTTTTACTTTGACTAAATACTGGTCCACCTCCCATCTATTAGCATAAATGGCACCCATGACCAAAATCAATACACGGTGACACGGTGATGTGTGTCCAAACATGTCTCCTTGGTGGGAGACGCACAATGTCACTTGTATGATTTGTATACCAACTGAAATCTTTGGACAGTCTACGATGACATTGAATGAATTTGTGCCACTCTTCCACTTTGCTTCTTTTTTGCACATACACAAACACACATGCGCTCGCGCGCGCGCGCACACACACACACACACACACACACACACACACACAAAATCGCAAACACATCTGTATTTCTTGCAACCACAATAAGGATACGCATCACAGAAAATGGATAGTTGAATGGATAAAAGAATAAATGAAAGGGTTCTTTTAATGTATTAAATACAGAAATCAATTGATTTAAAATGAACTGTATTGAGATAAGGAAAAATAATGGCCAAAATAATAATACTGTTATATTATATTAAAATGTCATTGGACTGCGGTGCAAGTCATGGCTGCGGAGACTAATGAAGTGTTAGACTGCCGATTTTGAGCGTTCCACCGGATTTATAGAATGATTCCAAAAATGTGCTGACTTATCCTTTAATATCAGAGTGTGTGCATGTTGTGGGCTCCATTTGGTTTTTGACCTACATTGTGTGCCAGATGTATGGCCGCCCAGGTCTCTTTCTGTGACTGCGTCACCCAATGAAAGGCGATTTTGCCCAAATTATGCTTGCTGATCTAATATTATCATGTGTGAACTTTGGGGAGGGGGTGGGGGGCTCTGCTGCTTCTGAGTCATTTTATTCTTTCCTATCTTCTTTCTCAAGATTCGTACAAAGTAAAATCATTTTTCCTGCTAAGACGATTATAAAAGGTTTAATCCGTAAAGCCTGGGCTAAAAAGCCTGCACTTTTTTGCAGATGATTTTCTTAGCTTTTAGCGACACGCACATTTCCCATATTGATTCAATATACATGTTGTGTCTTCTGTCTCTAGTTGCAAGAACAAGCTATATCCTGACAATCTGCCCCGAACTAGTGTGGTAATTGTCTTTCACAACGAGGCATGGAGCACGCTGCTGCGGACCGTCCACTCTGTCATCGACCGCTCTCCCCACACACTCCTGGAGGAGATTGTTCTGGTTGATGATGCCAGTGAGCGAGGTACACACACACACACACACACACACACACACACACACACACACACACACACACCTGTGCGTCTATTTTCATTTCAGCCTTATTTTTATTTGTCAAATGGTGTGATTTTCATCAAGTTTGTGACGGCTGGTCAACATCGCCGGTGTGTTGCGCGCCACTCCACCCCGTGCAATACTGTTAATCCCTGTTTGCTAGTTGGGATTAGGTCTTTAACTCGTCAATTGCAGGGATTACACTCAACTATTGTGCCAAGGCATGAGCACAGCCCCATTGCATCCCGAGGTCAGGTGTGAGCCAAAGGTGTTTGTGGTGTCTGCAGCTTTAAGACAACCGCACATGTGTTCTGTTTGATCTGTCTGCGCCGTAAGAGGAAAAGGGGATCCTGTAATCCAACCCCTGTAGTTTGCGCGTATGTTTGTGTATTGGTGTGAGCCTACTTTTTTGTGCTTATTTTTTGTTTTTATTTTTTGTACGTATCTCTAGTCTTTGTATCTCGGGGGTGTCAAACTCATTTTTGTCGCAGGCCACATTATAATGACCGTTTCCCTTGGAGGGGAGTTATGACCGAAACTACATAAAGAAGTCAAGAACAACGTTTTATTCAATTATTGTTGAAGTAACTGTAATGAGGGGTTTGGTAACAAGAAAAATCTGACAATATGTCACTGATTTATTACCTATGAAGATCAGAAATGTTGGTACAGATTTTAGCAAGCATCGTGGAAGTTGCCATCTTTGATTTGCTTTCGTGGGCCACTTAAAATGATGTGGCGGGCCTTGAGTTTGACACGTGTTGTAGACGATCGTCTGGCCCACGCTGAGGGGGGAAAACTCGTAGTTTGGGTTTGAAATGTTTCTTTTATGTCGTGGAACTTTTGTGACACACATCACATAATGTCCTCAACTCAACTTTATTTCTCGAGCGCTCTCACAACAGCTGCAGTTGTAACAAAGCACTTTACAGAATAAATAACGAAACATTCAGAAAATACAATCATAAACAACCCCGTGCCATTCCTATGTGATGCTTTGTTGTTGGAAGCGGTTGTAGAAATAAGAGGAGAGATTGAAAGTCTCCTTTCACCAGTAGGTTGTTTAAAAAAAAAAAAAGTCATAGAAAATCCAATTGGTCTTCTCGCTCTGTTGAATAATATCCCATTTAAATGTGCGACCGCATGCACAGGGTCATAGGGCTCTTTGCACATCATTTCTCGTGTTGCCAAAATACAGCACAGTCTTTTCCGACTCAGTATTTATCTTAATATGGTAATGCTATGCAATATTCTAACGCATAATCGCACTTTGTGATAAAATTTTTAAATACGCACTTGGTATTATTAGTGTCAAATGAAGGCAGCCAGACATGGGGAGTGAGTGGACAGGCTGTCTGCTTCAAATCAATGAAGAAGCATGAAAAAAGCTCGCAGTGATTAATGTTCCATGGAGCTTTTCCACATCTTATCTTCTTCATATTGAACGTCATCGGATCCAGGAACTGTTTTTTTTTTTTTTTTTTTTTTTTAGTTCCTGGTCTCTCTCTTGAACAAGTCTCGTTCTCCTTTTGATTCAACGTTTTCATGCAAGCCACTGTCCGGGAAAGCAGCTGCGGGGAGAGGACAAAACGCGTAATCGTTCATGAGTGACTTGAGCTTCGTTGGGAAATCCACGGGAGCCTCAAACATTGATTTTGAAATGCCGATGTGCAAATCCGAACACAAGAATGTTCATGGTGTTGTTTGTGGTGCTTTTGGGATAAAAACAAAACACAACTTTTTTTTTTTTTTTTTAAGGCTCAAAGTTGGCTGTTTACAGTATTCGAGCAGTAGTATCCTCAACGGATATCATAGTTGATGTGCAATTTGCCTGCTTCATTTGTCAGCAAAAATAGCATTTTGTTTTCAAGTACTCACCGTCAGTCTCTCATATCTAAATCTGCATGCATTTGTTTTGTTCCGCAGTATATTTTTCTTTTCTGTACAGAATGCGATTAAGAACCTGCAAGATGAACTCTGAGAGTGCTCTCATCTTTCATTTTTGTGTGGGTTAGATTTCCTAAAGCGACCGTTGGAGCAATATGTCCGAAGGTTGGAGGTCCCCGTGCGGGTGGTGAGGATGGATCAGAGGTCTGGACTCATTCGAGCTCGCCTCAAGGGAGCGTCCATCTCTACGGGGCAGGTTAGTCAACTCTGTGCGCACGTGAGCGACCTGCACCTCTGTTGAACTGCGCTGCCTATGGCTGACACAATCTGGAAATCTTTTTTTTTTTTTTTTTTCTGTAGGTGATAACCTTTCTGGATGCTCACTGCGAATGTACGACAGGCTGGCTGGAGCCGCTGCTCGCTCGCATCAAACAAGACAAGTACGACCTGTGCGCCCCTCAAGCGGCAAACTAACCAAGCTCGTGTGCAAGGGGGCTCGCCCTCACCTTAATTAGCCGGCTCATGATTCTTAGTTTGCTCGTGCACTAGGAGAACGGTGGTGTGCCCCATCATCGACGTGATCAGCGACGACACCTTCGAGTACATGGCGGGTTCGGATATGACGTACGGAGGCTTCAATTGGAAACTCAACTTCCGCTGGTACCCGGTGCCCCAGAGAGAAATGGACCGCCGCAAAGGAGACCGCACACTTCCTGTCAGGTGGGTGATACCGCCCGCCGCTTTAGTTCAACATGTTGTGCGCAGTTGCATCCTGTGTGCTGTCTCGGTCATCACATTTTTTACTGTTTCGCTTGGCACTGCTAATTGCTAATACAATGATCACAAGAGGGAGAGAAAAGACAAAGAGTGAACCTTTTTTTTTTTTTCCCTTTGTGAGTCGTGAAATTTCAACCCTGAGTTGAAGGTTCTTTTTGTATTTCAGCCTTCCTGTCATCTTTTCCTCCTACTCTCGTTTCCATGCTGACTTGACTCCATTACTCAAGGTCACACGCATCACGTAACGATTTATATAACATATTACGTCGCCGCATTTCGCTTTTTTTTTTTTTTCTTCAAACCTATTTTTCCCCGATTCCCTCACAAAATGTAGCTTTACATTATCACGACTGGAAATTTCTGTCCTGATCATAACAACAACAAAAAAAAAAAAAAATCTGCTTTCACATGATAACAGTCTGTATAATGAAATTGTTATAGGCCACGAATGCATAATGAAAAAGTGATTATAACTCAAATGGTATTATCGGCACATGCAGGAGCCTTTTGCACGCTTAAGCGACATCGCTCGGCCTTTGGATGTATGCGTTTTGGGAGTCGAACTGGGAGAGCGACTGCTGCGGGAAGCCACGGTGACTCAAGTGCTGTTATGGCTTCTCGCAGCTTTTAATTTACCGCTAAGTCTTTTGGTCCTGAGGCAGGAACGGGAAAGAGACTTCGAAATGACAAAGTCATAAAAGGATTTAGCCAAAAAAGATAAAATGGAAGCGCGAGTTGGAAAATTATATTTTACCACGTGAATAACTTTATGTACTTACATTGATGCCTTGTCGAATCAAAATGCTCTTTTTGACTTTTGGTCATGATGGCAGTGACCTGAACATTTCTGCGCCGTTAATTACCTTCAAAAAGATCTTTAAAAGGTTTTAAATGGTGTTAGGAATTTACTACAGCACATAAAGTTTTGTCGCAAATACAGTAGTAGTTTTTACATTCATTGCTAAGTCGGTAGATCACTTTATTCATCCCGTGCGGCAAATTAGATCAGTAGCGTAAATCACACAACAATTGAATGACTTTGCAAGGTCGACTGCAAAGTGACTTACCAACACTTGGGTTTGTTACATCAAGCATCCCTTTAAAAAAAAACAAAAAAAACAATGGTCAATGGTCAATGTAAATCGTTACATAGCAAAGCAATTGTTTGTTTTTCATCATTGATCTTCTTTGGTTATGATTGCAGGCAAAAAACAAAAAAAAAAAAACCACCCGATGTGAACGCATTTTTATTGGCAAACACCTTTATTTTCTCCAGTCTCTTTGTTTTGCTCGCTGTTAGATTCTCATCTGTGCCTATTATGCGTTCGGGCAAAACAGTATTATTTGTTCCGCTACACCCGAGCCACTTATTTTCTACTCTGAGTTAAACAGCAGCACCCCAATGTGGTTTTTTTTTCTTTCTTTTTTCCACAAGACGCTGTCTTTTGTTTAAGTGAACCTGGGAAAAATAAGCCGCTGCTGCAAGAAAGGAAATTATTTTTGGAAGTGGAAAGCGGGATGTCGTCGCACCGTTTTTAAATGCACTCGTGACCGTCGCGGCAACAGAGGAGAAAAGCAACGTGGAAAGGGGGGGCGGGGATTATCGGTCTATACATTTTACAGACTTAAATTGTGTTCATATTCCTTTCAACTTAATGCCATTTATAAATGTTTTTCCCCTCTTACGTGTTTTATTTTGACAATACTTGCTGTTTTCATATTATTCTATATCTTGGCTTGCTTCTGGAGCCAGTCAGTTTCCCTGCTGTGGGATCTTTGTCTTCTTCTCCTTATTATTAGATCTCTTATCTCTGCAAAGGTTCTCGTGTTACGCTCAAACTTATCTCGGTGGGCTTTTTTGTGCAAAAGGCAGATTACGACATGGACTGGTCGCCAGTCATGTCGAGACAACCATTTACACTCACATTTGCACCCTCACTGAGTGAGATCTGAACCCACGCTGTGAAACAAATGAACCGCTACACCATTGGTGTGTGTGCGTGTCTTTATGTGCCACTTGAAAAAAAAAACAATTGAAAATGAACTACTCGCGTTGTTTTCCAGAACTCCCACCATGGCAGGGGGCTTGTTTTCTATCGACAGAGATTATTTCCAGGAGATTGGCACTTATGACGCAGGCATGGACATCTGGGGTGGAGAGAACCTGGAAATCTCTTTCAGAGTGAGTGGCCACACCCACAGCTTTGTGACACGAGTGCCTTCTTCCACTCGCACCACACGCGCGACGCTCCCGAGGCCGCTGAGAAGTTGAGAGTAACCTGCATGCTCCTGTCCCTTCGTGACCTTCCACTGTGTGTGTTGGTCACAGATCTGGCAGTGCGGCGGAACCCTGGAGATCGTCACGTGCTCGCACGTGGGTCACGTGTTCCGAAAGGCGACGCCCTACACGTTTCCTGGAGGAACGGGACAGATCATCAACAAAAACAACAGACGCTTGGCCGAAGTCTGGATGGATGAATTTAAAAACTTCTTCTACATCATCTCCCCCGGTGAGCACTCGGTGTGTGTGTGTGTGTGTGTGTGTGTGTGTGTGTGTGTGTGTGTGTGTGTGTGTGTGTGTGTGTGTGTGTGTGTGTGTGCGCGCGCGCGCGTGCGTGCGCGCGCGCGCGCAGCAGGCGTAATCTATCCATTAAAACCTGGATCCAGTGTGATATCGCTGGGATGGCCCAATAGTGTGGGACTGGGGAAGGGAGTAATTTCACGCTAAGGAGCAGCAATTAACTTACGCACACGCATGCATGCGCGGGCGCGCACAGACGCACACACACGCGCACACACACACACACACACACACACACAAGGACACTGTCATCGGAGAGATATTGGCAAAAAGCAAAATTCCTTCTCCTAAAAGTAGCAGATTTGCGCAAATGTGCCATCTTGATTTTACTGCACCATGCTGGATGTCATTTGAAGCAACGATGAAGGCCATGCAAAGACAAACATGATGCATAGATTACAATAATCGCATTCCGTTTCATTTTAGTACGGCACAGTGTAATCGTGGTTGGCACGCTTCTGAGATGAGCTGTTTGAATCTGGTCTCTGGGTGTGGAGCTTGGCGTGGTCTCCCTGTGCTAATGTGGGTTTCCTCGGGGTACACCAGCATCCTCCCACATTTCAAAAATAAACATGTTTAGGTTCTACAATTAAAAATGAGGCATAATATCGTTTTGGGCAGCGAGGTACTTTGGTAGTTTTTGGGTACTGCTGTGCTAGGATGGATGGATGTGTTACATTTATTCCCTTTTTCTCCTCAACATAAATCGTTTGGTTGCCTCTTCTTGTGACTAACTTGTGGCTACTGAGGAACAAACGTACATGACAAGATGGAAACACTAATTGTATGTCTTCGCCCCCTAAACATGAGGGCTTCATTTTTGGGACATCTTATGCTAGATCAGGAACATGTAATTTGCTTTTTTTCTTTTTGATGAAAAAAAAAAAAAGATTTACAGACAGCATGAATGGAAATAAATAAAAAGACCTGCTGCTATGACAAAGTGGCATTACTGGTTTTCCTGCTGGGATGTGGATGAACCCGCATCCCAGCCGTGGTTTGTTTCACGACCACCCACAACCTGTAAGGACACACGACATTCACATCTCTGAGATGAAATCCAGTCAAAACCAAATTTTACCATCATTTGCTGGTGGATTCATGGTGTGCTCAATTCAACCACAACCATCCTGACTAAATGAGTTGGCGAATGTGTCTTCAGGTGTGACCAAAGTGGACTACGGTGACATCACGTCTCGCACAGTTCTCAGACAGAAGCTCCAATGTAAACCTTTCAGTTGGTACTTGGAAAACGTCTATCCCGACTCCCAGATTCCCCGCCACTATTACTCCCTGGGAGAGGTAAACACTCAAATCTTTATCTACATAGCGCTTGGCATCGACACACACACACACACACACACACACATCGTCACAAAACCACCTGTATTTGTGATGATTAATGGTTATATTGTGTGTGTCCCCCCCCCGACAGATCCGAAATGTGGAGACCAACCAATGTCTGGACAATATGGCCCGCAAAGAGAACGAGAAGGTTGGGATTTTCAACTGTCATGGCATGGGTGGCAACCAGGTAAAATTTTCCCAAAACGAGATGCCTGAAATAATTGAAGGTTACAAAATGCCTTCAAACTGCTGAAGACGTCATCGTAAGCAGCTTTTTGTTGTTGTTGGTGGTGGTGGTGTTCCTTGCAGGTGTTCTCTTACACAGCCAATAAGGAGATCAGAACAGACGACTTGTGTCTGGACGTGTCCAAATTAAATGGACCTGTCATGATGCTGAAGTGTCACCATCTCAAAGGCAACCAGCTGTGGGAGTACGACCCCGTGGTGAGTGCAAACTTTTGACACCACCGTCATGACTCTGTCACAGTTTAGACAAACAACATGATGACGATGTATATATCAGTGGCCAGTGGTAAGTTTTGGACCTGGGCTTTCAGTGGGTATTTAGTGACCAAATCCACCTCATAGCTCATAATAATGCCGTCACGTCACAAAATCATGGACAAAGAAAAAAAAAAAGTCACACTCAGCCACACGCATTGCATTCATATCCGATTTAACTCCACAAACGAAAATGTGCATTCACGTATTTGAGGATATTAAAGCAAAAAAAGTTAGCTTTATTTTTTCAATACATCACCTTTGCCAACTCCAAACCTATACAGGACATTATAGGGCTTCACAATCAAATTTTATCAAGATAAAAACTTGAAATATATCTGTAGCATCGTACCTGCCAATCGCCCTAACCCCAATCGCCCAAACCCCAAACGCCCTAACCCCAATCGCCCTAACCCCAATCTCCCAAACGCCCAAACCCCAATCGCCCAAAACTACTACGTACAACATACAAGCTAGATATAACTGCATACTACATACAAGCTCGTCAGCAAAGCAGTGTTGATTGAACTAGCCCAATAAAGTCCCGTTTTTCTTGAAAAGTGCGCCTGGTTATTTTTCCATCAATGTTTTTATTAGTTGTTGCTTTTTGTCAGATTCAAGTTATTTCTGTGAACACTAGGGGGTTTTCCTTTCATCAACAGAGCGATACCAACAATTTTCTCCATGTGCATATTGCCATTTTGTATAGTGTTGATAGGTTCTAACGGTTGTGACTTTAGGTATCAAGACGGTGACCATAGTTGTTTTATTCCCCACTTAAGCTCCTGGTACCAATTGTGTCCAAAGCGGATCGTGACGTTGTGCTAAATCAGAGTGAATGATGAAATAATTTTGTGTGTGCGTGTTGTGCAGAAGCTGAGCCTAGTGCACGTCAACAGCAACCAGTGTTTGGACAAGGCCAGCGAGGAGGACAGTCAAGTGCCCAGCGTCAGAGACTGCACGCACTCGCGCTCGCAGCAGTGGCTGCTCCGCAACGTCACACTACCGGAAGTCTTCTGATGGCGCACACTCACTTCACACGTACGCGGAGCAACCGGACCATGAGAAGCCATGGGGTGGAACGTTTGTCTTTAAAAAAAAGAAAAAACAAGCAACAAAAAATAGAATGTAACTAGTGCTCCGTGTGGATGTGAGAGGACAACACCTGGGATGGTACGACCTCAAGGAACAGTGTCGCATCCTCAGGAGGAAGCCGGGGGGGAAAAGACTCCCACCGGGGGATGCCGGATGTTCTCGGCGAGTGACTGATGCCCACCTGTCACATCATCATGTAACGTTTACTGACTGCCTCTTGTTATGGAGTGTGTGCACTTAATTTGCGTGTGTGTGTGTGTGTGTGTGTGTGTGTGTGTGTGTGTGTGTGTGTGTGTGTGTGTGTGTGTGTGTCTAACTTGTTTGTTTTGTTTTTTATATTTAATTCAGTCATGCATTGTGAAGAGCTCCTATGAAGGCTGTTTCCCCATTGTGTGCCTCCTTACAGTGTGTCTCCCCCTAGTGTCTTCTCCTTGTCTTTACACCCTGCAGACAGACGTGGGCCTCAAGGACTGCTACAGACATTTGGAGAGGCAGAGAAGATCAATAACGTTTGTGATATCACACCTTTTCTATGTCCTGTTTTTACATGGTTGTCTCTTGTCCCGTTTAGCATTGAGGCTAGAATACTGCTCACTGCCTATTTACACACACACACAGACACACACACGCACACACACACAGTCTGACCCTCGAGTCCATTGGTCGCTCACATGAAAGCAGGGTTTGGCCAAACGTTTCCACATTTATAGCACTCTTGTCTTCATTTAGGGTCGCAGGTGAACTGGAGAGCCCAATTAGGCAAGTTAGGAAAATACATCCTGCCATGAGTCTACTTCCTGTACATCAATTAAAGATGCGCCAAACAGTGCACACGATTTAATTACAAAAACCAAAAGAGCTTTCGGAACCCTGCTTTAAAGCAACACTCCAGTGTGTGGCGTGACAACCTTCTTCCACCTTAGTTGGTAGCAAAATTGACCCATTTGGTTTTTTTTCTGCGGCTTTTCGAGTTCTTGCTTCTCCACAAAGCCTGTCGGAGGGCGCCACTGAGTCGTTTAGGCACAAGAGTTGAGAGGAAGACATCTTGCACATCGTCAGCCTCTTAAAATAATGGCCTATGTTCCATTCTGACAAAACCTTTTTTTTTTTTTTTTTGCCTTAATCACCTCCTCAGGATGCTGGCCACATCTGCTAAAATCACGACATATTTAGTTCAACAGATCATTCAATTTTACCCCTGATGCATTTATTAATAAAGAGAATCATTGATGTTTTTTTGTGTTTGTTTTATGTTTTCTGAAAAAATGACCAGCCATTATTTTAGGAAGGTGACGATATCTCAGCGTATCATATTTTACCCCGATTTTACATCATATCTCATTTAGTTCAGCACTAATGGCCATCATGTTTCATTGTGTTTTACATATCACTGAGAGTCTGTGTTGTCATCAAAGATTTTTACAAGCTGTGTTCAGAATCTCTCCTGCCATAGTCCCTAATTACTCTTGCATAATCACTAGGGATTTGTACGTAGTTAACTATAGGCTTCACTAAAACTGCGACAGTCTGGGGCTGCTTTGCTTATTCAGGATCTTTGGTCCGCTAAAAATCCAGATACGGCGACTGAGTATGAAGGGCTTTTTTAAGCAGAGGATCTACAGTTCACAAAAAAGTCGACAAGAAAAAAATGAGTAGGGAAGTAACGGAATGATTCCAAACACATTCACTGTGGTCGAAATTGCGGTTTCTTTTCATAATGGACTAAAAATTGACTGTGTGATGGTCTGGGGCTGCTTTGTTACTACAGCACCTCTGTGCCCTAACAAGCCTACCACAGCAACAATATTAGGAATTCCTTGTGAGTGGGGGGGGGTGCACTTTTGAGTCCACTGTATAAAAATCCATATGGAGTGATTAGGGAGTAGGGAATGATGATTCCCAACAGTGACGGTGTTTACACTCTTTGGAAGAATCATTTTAGCAACTGTGACATGGCCAAGGAGACGTTTTGTGTTTAGATTGTACTGAAATGTGCTGACTGACACGTGCAGCTTTTTCGACAGTGAACGCTTCCAAATATAGGAAATAAAAGTGAAGGCATTTACACGGCCTGTCACGGACAACCGTCACCTATGTGAGTCTTTGTTCTTTCTCAGCCTTGATTTGACAGTGAACATTTACTTACAGTGACACAACTCGTTTTTTTTTTTTTTTTTTTCTTTTTGGGAACGTGCCTGACAGACTTACAGAGCAATTCTGAATACACATCACGTGTTATTTCTAGCAGTGAAAAATAATGGATGTGCTCTGTTACAGGGGCATTCCCCTTTAACATCGTTCTGGTCCCTCAAAGGATTGACAACATGATGCGCTGAATTATTCATCAGCAAAAATCGCAGAAAATCTTTGTTTCCCATTGGCGTTAAATATTGTATGATTATTCTGTTTGTGTGCTTCCTCTGCATACTGAATAATGTATTTAATTGTATTTTTATCCTCCTACACTTTTCTCATCAAACATTTCACAGCATCCGAGCTAAACATGCTTCAAACGGGGACAATGGAATATATATTTATCAGTCACATTTGCTGCAATAAATACATGCATAAAGCCTCACGTGACAAAAGTTATTTGGAAAAAAAAAATAAAAATCAGTCGCAACTCATTACAATAATCACGGCGTCACGCTTGCAGGCCAAGTCTAATAAGACTTTTTATGCTTGGGATTCCAATGCATGACTATTGTCTTACAATATAAAAACGCACTAATTTGGGGAAAAAAATTAGGATTACAGGAAACAGTATAACTACTGCGTGATTTGTAGCTGTGCAAGATATTCATTTCTTACATACAAATAATTTTATATGAATAGTACTGTGTTGTATATTACAATTACTTTTCAAATTGTATTACAGGTAATACAGAGTTGTCATTGAATCCAATTGTCTATTGCAGGGGTCAGCAACCTTTTTGAAGTTGAAAACTGCTTTGTGTGTCATGCGAATACCACCAGTTTAATAACCACTTTTGAAATAACGAATTTACTCAATCTCATTTAAAATATCTTAATGTCATTAATGTAATAATCCATTTATGTGGCAGCAGACCATGTTTATGATTTCAAATGATTGCTTCTACAAAATTCTGAGAAAATTACCATGCCCCCCCAACACTGGTGAGCTATTTTTAGAATAGGTACTCAAGTGGCACTTGGGGGGCTACCCGTTACCCACGGGCAGCATGCTGCTCGGGTCACTTCACTACATGTATCTATGAAAATTTTAATTCCATATTTTTGATCAGGTTCGGTATTTTACCAGTATTTAAAACAAAATTAAAAAAAAATGTCACAGCTCAGATTAAAGGGTCATGGTTACTTCTAACAGTGGTGTTTATTTGGCAGTGCCGATCTATTCTTTGGGGAAAACAAACAGTAATGTAGTCATAAAAAGAAAAAAAAGTAAAACTGTAAACACTGGCATTGTTTGCACACCCGACAAAAAACACATTCACGGGTTGTCACTTAGCCACAGATCACAAGGCAAAGCTGTAAGCACGACAGAACTCTGAAAGTGCTGGTGTAGAGAAAACAAGTAAATACGCGTTTAGGTGGCTGTAAGCACGACAGAACTCTGAAAAGTGCTGGTGTAGAGAAAACAAGTAAATACGCGTGATGAAAATCGGTTCGTCATCGATGAACTAAAGTGGACTTCACTCCATCGTTGTCATTTTGCAGGAGGGCGAGTTCTGAGCTCAAGTATTCTGGCTGCCGCTGCCACTAATAGTGTGACAGTGGTCTCAGTCCGCACATCTGTCAAATCTTTCATCAGTCTAACAGGCACCGAAGCTTGAATTGGATCGTCCCGTTTTATGACAAAAGCGTATGTCAAACCTTGATTTGGAGCGGTGGTAGTATCTGCTTTGTTTTTGTTTTTGCACGAAAATCAAACGTCAATCAAGAGAGTTAGCCCACTTTAGTTGTCAGTGACTCAACCGGTACACAGAACTTGTCATGTCAATGTTTTGAATTGTAGGCTGGCTAAAATCATCAAAAAGCTTTAACACTTCAGTTGGGGTTGTACTTCATAACAGGATGGGAGGGAAGCAAACAAGTTCTTTACTGCTTCTTTAAAAAAAAAACTCAGTGTGTTCAAAGAGAACAGGTGTATGCGTTTTTATTAAAGCTACATTTTTCTTTTTGTGCAAACTCAGCACTACTTGAATGGACACATGAGTAGGGTTGCAAAAATCACCTAAAATTCAGGTTAAAAATAAAACATTTCCATGCGTCGTTAATGTACAATGAAAAACATGGATCTCCACATTTTCTAGGGTCTTTATTTTTATCCACCAAAAATCAATTATTTTACTCTGAAGCCACCTAAAAATGAATTAATTGGCTGTAGACACCACAAGATGGTGCCAAAGCACAACCTATTAAACCCAATGTCCAACCATCACGACAGCATTTGTTTTTTGTCACCAAGATACAACAAAACATTTTTAGATTTAGGGTTAACTCATTCAAGCCCAAAGATGTATTTGTGTCTTACCCATTGGGGGTTTTGATCTATATATCTTGAAAAACTGTCAAGACTCAAGTAGGGTTGGAAGACAGCAGTCATTAAATTGAGTGAGTTCTCACTAATTCAATAGTGATTGTAATACTAATCGTGATTTACAATACTAATTGTAATTCAAGTACCTAACTTGTCCAACTGATATTTCCAAAAGTATTCTTAAACCCTAAACCAACTTTTGTGGTCCTTTGCAACCTTACACATGAGTGACCATAACCCCCCCCCCCCCCCCCAAAAAAATGCCTACAGTCTTTGGAAAGAAGTTGTTGTGCATTGGGGTGTGAGCAGTCCACCTCACCCTGTAGAGCTGGCAAAACTATTTTGGCAACGAGACGACGTGGTTCGTATCATCTTTTTGGTTGACAGCAGCAGGCACCTCATTGCTCCGAGCGATGCCGCAGCAACAGCAAAGCATCGCGGGGGAGCGGCTGTGAGGCCACCTTTCCTGTAGCGGCATCTCACCGGACCTGCGGAGCTGCATGTGGAGGAGCCGTCAAGCCGGCTGACGTTCCGCCGCAGTGGCGTTACTCACTACTTTTCTTCAGGACCGAGGGCGTTGACTCAGAGAAAGCCCTGGAGAGGACAATAAGTATACGTCAAAAGAATGTGTTTATTTGATTTTATTTTTGTAGGGTGTCGGTTGCCGTGGCAATGGCGACCTGTTGCCGGGCTGGGGCCAACCGGCCTGGATGGGCGTAGGGGCTGCCGAGTTGGGGCTCATCAGCATGGCGCTGTAGATGTTGGCCGCCACCACCAGGATGCACAGCAGGATGGGCCCAATGATGGCGCCCTCGAGACCCAGGTAGTAGGCGCCGCCCGCCACCGCCAATCCGGTCAGGTAGGGGTGACCCCCCCTGAAACCACACACACACACACACAATGTCAGACTTAACTGTAACTCTTAGGAAGGTTAAGCAGTTTAGCGATGCAGGTAATTCAGTGCTGGCATCTGCTCCACGCTTCTGGTGAGAGTTTCATTTTGTACTGGCTGTTTGAATCTGTCAATTAAGCAGCTACAACAGTTTTTTTTTTTTTTTTTTACCTAAAACATCTACTTGAGGTAGGGTGTTTATTTATTCAACTGCAAAGAGTGGGCCTTTATTTCAACAGTTGCATTCTTGATTTATTAAAGAGCCGGGTGTTTATTTGGGGAACTGCTTTGAAAAAAGGCCTCGATTTGAGGAAATAGGATATTTGGCAACAAAAAAAAGAAAATGTAGAACTATACCGCATCTTCTTGATAGATTTGCTTTTCTTGACCAAATGAAGAGACAACTCTGTTGGGTGTATAGAATGTGATTGCGCAGGTGTTCCTAATAAAGTGTCCGGCGTTTGAGTTACACACCCAGAGATGTCGGAGTAGATGGCGGTGTCCACAAAGTAGGTGGGCAGCAAATGGCAGACAAGCAGCAGCGCGGCCTTGACGCCTTCGCCTTGCGCCAGCCACAGGTCACACACGGCGGGCACGGCGGCCCAGTACGTGCCCAGGAAGGGCACCGCGCCCAAGATGGCGGCCAGGGCTTTTAACGGGGAAACAAAAAATAAATGAAAAAAAGAAAAAAAGGTTGGAGTGCGAGATTGATGAAAACAGGCCGTATTTGGCGTGAAGCTCACCTGACGGAATGAAGACCACGTTGATGCCAAAGATGGTGTGAGTGAGCCAAGTGTACAGGCCGTAGAAGGCGGCCATCTTGAGAGAGGCATCAAACACGCCTCTGTGCAAACACACAGACATGACCGGTAGCTACTTCCGACACAGAGGACATGGTATGAAAGGCCTGATAATAACTACACTGGGAAATATAACATTCCGTTGAGTTCGATTTTTATGCTGATTAAAACTAAAATTGATTCTAAAATTTGTCAATTTTTTTCCTTCACAGCTTACCGTCCAAAAATCCACCAATTAGTTGAAGTAAGAAGGACTGTACTAAGGTGAGGCGATTACGAATGAACTCATCTACAGCTACGTGGCAACATGTTTGTGCCGTCACAATCGAACCAATGCACTCACTCAAAATTGAACTATTTCAACGTTCCTATTATTCATAAGCCCCTCCAAAATTATTTGGTCGACTCACGTTGCAGTGTAAGACCCAGTGAGGCACAACTCAGCCAGATCTGTTAAATGATGATCTTCCAACTTAAAACTACAGTCGACTCTTGCATATTTGTATTTTTTATTTATTTTTTTTAGATTATGGTCATTTTCCAGTTTTGCCAAGATTGTCATAATTTACCGATATCAAAGGAGTATGAATAATATGTCCACAATATATTCCACACATAAAAACTAAGTATAAATAATACATTTAATGAATTTACAAAAATAGATAATTATGGTGATTACATTAAAGTGCTTGGAGGATTCGCATAGAAATTAATTTAAACGTAACTATATGTACCACCACGACCAAGACCAGTACTACTAAAAATAATCATTATTATTAGGGACTGTAGAAATAACATTGAGTGTATATTAATTAATATCATTGACATCCAAGTTAAAATATATTTTCAAATATGCATTTGACGTCAACAGGCGTCAATGGCAGTGAATGTGCAATAGGCCTATTGTATGAAGCATGAAAAAATTTGGATCATTATGAATTGCACAGTGTCGCAGATACCAGGAAGCGAATGGGATATGAATTCGCGACTATTATTATTATTATTATTATTATTGTAATTTCTTGCTCAGGAAGCTACCTGATGGCCTCCTCCACAGACTGCCCTATGATGTTGGATGAGGGTCCCGGCTGCGAGAGAGGGGTCAGGCTGATGACCCACTTGACGGGTTTGTAATACTCTCCGCTGGAGCTCAGCAGGTAGAACAGGGTGGTCAAGAAAATCACCTGAGATGACATACCAAACTCATTTTTGGGCACTCCCACAACACAGGAAGCAGGAGGAAGAGGATGAGGAAGGTGCCCCCCGCCCCTCCCCTTACCAGGCTGAGGACAAAATTGAGCAGAGCTGTGCCACTGTGAAACACGACGGTGAGGAGTGTGGTGGTGGTGGTGATGAGGAGGCCAACGTTCCTGCTCATCACGACCCACAGTGACTCCAGGATCTGAAAGAAAACATCAAGCTTGAAAAACATCTCATGATTTACAAACAACTCGCATTTTGCTGCAAAAAATTCAACACCACTTACAGACCACAGTGTCTCAATATTCTCTTGAAGGAAGGAGGCGACGTCCTTCCAGTCCAGGATGTCCACCAACCAGCTGTTTGTTCTCTGAATATTCAACTTGGTACCACGAGAGCGACCCGAGTGGGTCACATTCTACAAACAGGCGCGTCTGCATTTTCAGAAAAGCAAACCCTTTCAAGAAACACGCCACCCTACATCCATTGGTACCTTCACAAACCACGAGTGGTAGAGTCGGTCCCAGAGCTCCAGCACTTGCTTCTCGATCACATCCGTGTTGTTCACCTTGTCCCCCAACATCTTCTGAAGCTGCGCGCACGTACACACACAACAAAACACGGTCGAGTTATAATTTGGACGAGTAAGCAAAAAAAAAAACAAAAAAAAATAATAATAATAATAATACTTTTTTAATTAATTAATTAGTTAACAAATTAATTCACTAATTAATTAATCTACTGAGTGATTGAATTTGACATCAACACCGACGAACGATTGTTGGGGGGGGGCAATAATTGCCTTCCTGTCAACGATCTCAACAACTGCCAATGTGGAAGAAAAAAATATTTTCAATATGTATTTTTTTTTGGGGGGGGGGGTACGACAGGAACTGTGATTGTTTCATGTTCAACATTAGCACTAAATAAGTGTCAGTCCTAGTCTCCCCCATTTACAGAATCGTGGAAAAAGGGCTACATTTCATGCCGAACGCCCACCCCCCCACAAAAATAACATGAGTGTGATTAAATACTTTGTAGAAATGTAGATGAAAGTCAAGTAATGCCAACTTTTTGCGTTATCCACTCTCTTCCATGCTCATAGACGTTAGTGGCAGCTGAATTCACAGCCTTCTGGATCACGCGAGCTTCTGGGAGCAAGCTGTCCACGAGAGAAAAATCAAAGAGAGAAGGTCATCTCTCTGTGCAAGTGACACATTTCCAAACTGAAAGAACAAGATGGCTGCCTTACTTTGCCCACTCTGGGTGGTTGGAGACCGTCTCGTTGATGAGATTACCGGTGACGTCAATGATGTGAGCGCTTTCATGGTGAACCTGGATGCATTCATCCAAGAGAATAGCACTCATAATGCAGAGATGGAGATATTTAAATCCAAATTTAAAAAAAAAAGACAACAACAATCATACCATGGCTGTGAGGAGCAGACCCATGAGGATGGTCCCTGCGACCAGGAGGATGATGATGAAGATGCTGATGATTTTATCCAAAGAGCGCTCCAGCCACACCACCATCTACATGGAGGACACAACAGGGGGCCAAAAGGAAAGGGAAGGCAATAAGAAGTGCGGCAGGTAGTGAAACGCATGTCCTTCCGATATGGCTGCTTTGCATTTTTTAAAAAAGTAATCTAAAAATTCACACTGTTTTAGAAGCCAAAAGTTTATATTTAAAAAAAAAATTAAATGGCAAAGCCAAACACAAGCGCACACAGATCCTTACACTTCAACACGATGTGCAAGAAACAAAACACTTTTTTAAAAAAAGGTGCAAAGCCAAAGTTTGCGTTCAGTCAGCACACATGTTCGCTATTTGTGTTGCCAAACACTGGAACCAAACATAAAACAATGTGCACCAAGTATTAAGTGTCCTGCAATGTGACGTTATCAGTGTAAAAATGTAAATACATGCTGGATATCAATGTATAGGTTTCATCACACCCTTCTCGGGTTTGAATGCCGTTGCTTCTGCGTTTTGTTATTTATATTGTGTCCATAACCGTGCCGCTCTCTGGTCCCTCAAAAGGGCAAGGCAAGTCAAAAATGCTCTTGACAATATGAAGTTCTACGCACGCTCACTAGTCGAACCACAGCATTGGGTTTTTATTGCGTTTGGGGCAATATGAATTAAGCAGCAAATCCCACCGTTTTGCAGGTTTCGGCAGCACTCTTGTATATCAAAAATTAAGTTTGATTGCAGGTTTCGGCAGGACTTATATATCAAAAATTCAGTTTGACCAAGGCAAAGCTACATGGCTGCTTTACATCAGGGGTGTCAAACTCATTTTTTGTCGCGGGTCACTTCGGAGTGACGGCTTCCCTCGGAGGACCGGTGTAAAATCTCAACGTTATTTATTACCCATGACAATTTGACTTTCCGGTACAGATTTCAGCAAGAATTATGACAGTTGGCACACATGATTTGCTCCCGCGGGCCATATAAAATGACATGAGGGGCCGGATATGGCCCACGGGCCTTGACTTTGAGACGTGTACTTTACATACATAATATGTACATGTAATTAATTTTCTCTTTTTATTAAAGTCAGTAACCCGAAATAGGGAGTGGCGATCAAGACCTCGAAGGCTCTTTTTTGAAGAATATTTCAGTTCTCTGCCAAACTGCTGCGTGTTGTCAAATGAGTTGGAAAAAAATACAATCTGCAACTCCACTCTGCTGGATTAAAGTCTGCATAAATCACATGCACTCAAAGCAAAAACATCACAGATAAGATGCAGAAGCAGCAGTGGGAGCCCCTCCCCCCCCAACAAAAACGGGAAGGTAAAAAGTCCAATCAACTTTTACTGCATCTTCCCGTGAGGACAAACTAAAATCTAAAAGCTGGAACTCAAGAGGACGAGCATGTAGACGAGGGAAGGTCATGAAAGAGTTAAAAAAAAGCCAGTCCAAGCAATGGACTCACACACATATCAATATTTGATGATCTTTTTCCCTCTTTTGTTCATCCACACGCACACTTAGCTGACGACCTCTCTCATCACCAAGTCATTACCTGCTTGTTAAGCCAATGCCACAGCTTGGAGAGGAGACAAAGACACAGTGGGAAGATTGTTATTGGGAAAAAAAAAAATTGTGCAGTCAGCGCATTTCCCCCCCACCCGCACGTGCAACACAACACAACACTTGTGTTTGGATGCAGGCACGTGACAAGCAAGGCGTCAAGTACAGGGTGATTGGTGGGCTGGTGATTTTTAACAAAGTACTCCAGTGCGATCCTCGAACAAAAAATCTTTGACTTGAATATTGTACTCAAATAGTGGCCTCAGATTAGTGAAAACACCAGGCCCCAATTGAAAATGTGCTGCACACGTAAACAAACATCTCTCCTTAATTAGATGTCTTCTACATCCACGCAGATAGTAAATATTAATAAAACATCAGGATGGTCTAAGATGAGGACAATTACCGTATTGGCCCGAATATAAGACGGCCCTGATTATAAGACGACCCCCTTTTTCAAGACTCAAGTTTGAAAAAAGACTTTTTGAACACCAAATTAATTTTTATACAGAAAATAATTACAGTACATCTGAAACAAATGATAAAAGCAATATATTTGAGAGAAAAGGCATGTTATTTTGCCTCATTCAAATCTAAAGTGCAATCACATTCGTAAATGAATGGCTTCTGGTTTTTGAAATGTAAATTACATCATAACTTCTCCTCAGCTGCCGGTTAACCTGGCCGATCTTCGACCCACTTTTCTCCAGATTGTCACTACGTTTCTCCATTTTCTGTTATCTCTTCTATTATTTTCTTCTCTTTTCCTTCTTATCGCTATTTTTTATTTTTCTTCTTCGTGCTACCGCTATTTTTATTTTTATTCTTCGTGGCAGGGGTTCACTTTGGCCTGGGGAGTCAAGTTCAGCATTCGGTTCAATGATATCTGGCGCCATCTAGCGTGGTGAATGGGTATGATGTCTAGACCCGGAACATAAGACGACCCCCACTTTTTCAGTCTTATTTCAAGGCAAAAAACACAGTCTTATATTCGGGGCCAATACAGTAGTTCCGCCTCCAAATGAACTGCATTATTCAAAGGAACAAAAAAGAAAATGACACGTGAATAGAAAGTGATCATGTGAAGCCATTTGATGTTCGAGGTAACAATGATGTCCACGTGGAAACGGGCTGTCAAGTGAAAGCCAAAGATAAAAGCCCAAATCCAGTTTTGTGTGGAGTTTCCAAAGTGCGACCATGCAGGACACGGCCACACAAATCTCTGAACAAAAGGACAAGTGTTACCTTTGTGTCAATACGCAGCAAGAATTGCGCCAAGCCTTTGATCGGACCCGGCAGCAGAGCCTCCTCTCGTTCCCGCCCAAACTTCTCCAGCATGGCCCACCACAAGCTCATAGTCCTCGCCGCAAAACTCTTCAGGCCAAAATGGACCACCAGCTTCTTCATGACCCACACTACGTATCAACACAGGTGTCAGGCGTACATTTGAGAGGCAAAAGATGAAATGTCAGGGTGAATGTTACCGGCCACGGGGATGGGAAGGAGCTGCAGGACCCACAAGTTGAGCCAGATCTGGACCAGGACTATGGCCCAGGCCAAGAGGATGAAGTAGATGTCGCTGGCCTTGTGGGAGGACTTCTTCTGGAAAAGAGCGGTCGGTACTCTTCGAGAGCTCTGAGTGAACGCTGGGGTGGCAGCGAGGTTGTCCACCGAGTCGCTGTCACCATCTTGTTAAGACAAACGGCAAGTGGCCTGAATCTCAAGAGGATTTCTCGAAACACTTGGTCCACAAGTGACTTTTCAAAATTTGCAAATATATTTGTTAACAGTTCACATGGAAATCAACTTAAGCCTAAACACGCTTAACACAACTATATCATCACAGTTGGTTATGTTTACATCCTCATTTTTTTTTTTTAATGGAGTTGTACGAGTTATGTCACATTCCTGTTGGAAAAAGTTTATATCAGCCATCAGAACCTGACATTTGAACAAGTTGTTGACTTTTTAGTATCCACTGTACTTGCATAACAAATCTACAACATCCTTCATTTGTTATGCAAGTATTGATGAGGTTCTTAATGCATGTGTTTTTTTTTTAGCAATAAATAAATAAATGTAAGACCAAAAAAAAAAAAAACATTTTCTCACCTGTGGTGCATCTTTCGCCAGGCTCAGTTTTGGATTGCAGGCTGCCACAGGCAATGGCCATGTAAATCGTGTTAGCAGCAAACGACAACACTTGCCCAGGCAGCTCTCCTTAAATGATCATATCACAACATCAACAAAAAAAATTCCACCCAAAAAATCCTCACATATATATAATTAAAAAAATAGCGTTAGTAGTTTCGTTTGTTCAATGAAGTAAAGTGACTGAGGATCAGCGAAGGCAAAAAACACAGTCTTATATTCGGGGCCAATACAGTAGTTCCGCCTCCAAATGAACTGCATTATTCAAAGGAACAAAAAAGAAAATGACACGTGAATAGAAAGTGATCATGTGAAGCCATTTGATGTTCGAGGTAACAATGATGTCCACGTGGAAACGGGCTGTCAAGTGAAAGCCAAAGATAAAAGCCCAAATCCAGTTTTGTGTGGAGTTTCCAAAGTGCGACCATGCAGGACACGGCCACACAAATCTCTGAACAAAAGGACAAGTGTTACCTTTGTGTCAATACGCAGCAAGAATTGCGCCAAGCCTTTGATCGGACCCGGCAGCAGAGCCTCCTCTCGTTCCCGCCCAAACTTCTCCAGCATGGCCCACCACAAGCTCATAGTCCTCGCCGCAAAACTCTTCAGGCCAAAATGGACCACCAGCTTCTTCATGACCCACACTACGTATCAACACAGGTGTCAGGCGTACATTTGAGAGGCAAAAGATGAAATGTCAGGGTGAATGTTACCGGCCACGGGGATGGGAAGGAGCTGCAGGACCCACAAGTTGAGCCAGATCTGGACCAGGACTATGGCCCAGGCCAAGAGGATGAAGTAGATGTCGCTGGCCTTGTGGGAGGACTTCTTCTGGAAAAGAGCGGTCGGTACTCTTCGAGAGCTCTGAGTGAACGCTGGGGTGGCAGCGAGGTTGTCCACCGAGTCGCTGTCACCATCTTGTTAAGACAAACGGCAAGTGGCCTGAATCTCAAGAGGATTTCTCGAAACACTTGGTCCACAAGTGACTTTTCAAAATTTGCAAATATATTTGTTAACAGTTCACATGGAAATCAACTTAAGCCTAAACACGCTTAACACAACTATATCATCACAGTTGGTTATGTTTACATCCTCATTTTTTTTTTTTAATGGAGTTGTACGAGTTATGTCACATTCCTGTTGGAAAAAGTTTATATCAGCCATCAGAACCTGACATTTGAACAAGTTGTTGACTTTTTAGTATCCACTGTACTTGCATAACAAATCTACAACATCCTTCATTTGTTATGCAAGTATTGATGAGGTTCTTAATGCATGTGTTTTTTTTTTAGCAATAAATAAATAAATGTAAGACCAAAAAAAAAAAAAACATTTTCTCACCTGTGGGGCATCTTTCGCCAGGCTCAGTTTTGGATTGCAGGCTGCCCCAGGCAATGGCCATGTAAATCGTGTTAGCAGCAAACGACAACACTTGCCCAGGCAGCTCTCCTTAAATGATCATATCACAACATCAACAAAAAAAATTCCACCCAAAAAATCCTCACATATATATAATTAAAAAAATAGCGTTAGTAGTTTCGTTTGTTCAATGAAGTAAAGTGACTGAGGATCAGCGGCTGCGTCGGTCCTTGACTGCTGGCACCAATACATGACAGTCCCGTCATCTGGATTTTTAGTTAGTGACAGTAGGGCCAACTCAGACACGCCAAACCCATTTTTGAGTGCCTATTCACAAGCCTCACCTCTGCCAGGGACAGGGGGCTTCTCTTGGGAGCCCACAATGAGCAGCAGCACCACCACCACAAATAAAGGAACCCTCCACGAGCCCGTCAAAGACACTAGAGTGAAACAGCAACGACTATGAATTGATCGGATAAACACACAATTGTACTCAATCACGAGAAACATTTTCAAGCCTCGAGGGTCAGACTGAATTCATCCAGTGGACTAAAAATAAGAGCAGACTTTCTCATGTTACTTCCACTCACCAATGTAGAAAAGCAGAGTGGTCCACACAGGCAGGGCGGCGGACCTCAGGTAGCCTTCAGTGTGGGGACTCCATTTAAAGCAGACTGCCAACAAATAGCCAATGACCACTGTGCAAACCTATCACCACACAACAAAGGATGTTTAACACACGGGACAGAATGTTATCATGACTTGCTCTAAGGCATGTTCTTGTAACATAAGAGGAAGCCAGAGATTTGAAGCTCAAAACTGTGAGGCTAAAAAGACATTTTCTTCCATTTGCCCCGTTCGGTGACAAGAGAATAGGTCAGAGTTGCGGGGTGAAAACTTGCGGCTGCTTTCACCAGGACATGAGCAACCGAAGATTCCTGGCCGAGAAGAATTAGCAATAAATAAATAAATGTAAGACCAAAAAAAAAAAAAACATTTTCTCACCTGTGGTGCATCTTTCGCCAGGCTCAGTTTTGGATTGCAGGCTGCCACAGGCAATGGCCATGTAAATCGTGTTAGCAGCAAACGACAACACTTGCCCAGGCAGCTCTCCTTAAATGATCATATCACAACATCAACAAAAAAAATTCCACCCAAAAAATCCTCACATATATATAATTAAAAAAATAGCGTTAGTAGTTTCGTTTGTTCAATGAAGTAAAGTGACTGAGGATCAGCGTCTGTGTCGGTCCTTGACTGCTGGTACCAATACATGACAGTCCCGTAATCTGGATTTTTAATTAGTGACAGTAGGGCCAACTCAGACACACCAAACCCATTTTTGAGTGCCTATTCACAAGCCTCACCTCTGCCACGGACAGGGGGCTTCTCTTGGGAGCCCACAATGAGCAGCAGCACCACCACCACAAATAAAGGAACCCTCCACGAGCCCGTCAAAGACACTAGAGTGAAACAGCAACGACTATGAATTGATCGGATAAACACACAATTGTACTCAATCACGAGAAACATTTTCAAGCCTCGAGGGTCAGACGGAATGCATCCAGTGGACTTAAAAATAGGAGCAGACTTTCTCATGTTACTTCCACTCACCAATGTAGAAAAGCAGAGTGGTCCACACAGGCAGGGCGGCGGACCTCAGGTAGCCTTCAGTGTGGGGACTCCATTTAAAGCAGACTGCCAACAAATAGCCAATGACCACTGTGCAAACCTATCACCACACAACAAAGGATGTTTAACACACGGGACAGAATGTTATCATGACTTGCTCTAAGGCATGTTCTTGTAACATAAGAGGAAGCCAGAGATTTGAAGCTCAAAACTGTGAGGCTAAAAAGACATTTTCTTCCATTTGCCCCGTTCGGTGACAAGAGAATAGGTCAGAGTTGCGGGGTGAAAACTTGCGGCTGCTTTCACCAGGACATGAGCAACCGAAGATTCCTGGCCGAGAAGAACATTGTCATGCTGAAGCAACTTCCTGGCTTATTCCATTTTGGAAACGTGCATGACATGAGATAGCCGTGACGATAGAGCTACTGGGGGAATTCTGGAAAAATGTGTCTGTGTAAGTAAGTGTGTTTAACTTCAGGGGATTCTAATGGTTGTAGTTTGCTTTTTTAAAGTATATCCTTTGTGACATATAGATCCTGTATAATTGAAATCACGCAGCAAATGGCAAATTTGTGTACCCAAGGCAATATAAACACAAACTCAAAGGGAAGCCTCAGTTTTGATTGACCAATTTTCACAACCACACACACAGTCTTTTATCATCGATGAAGACAGGAGAGGTGGGGAGAAGCAACTCAGCTGTCATTGTCAATCCACTCACCCAGACCGCGTGGAAATAGTCCAGCCCCGCTGCAATGACCCCCCAAAGGTGGCCGAGAAACACCTGCATCCCGACGACGCTCCAAGACACGTAGAGGACGTAGAGCAGCGGCGCTCCAGCTCCGATGGCGAGGAGCAGGGGGAGCTTCTCCATCACCTGCCGCCCCATGAAGTCCACCGTGTGGTTGACGCACCACACCGGCACTAGCAGAGTTCCCACCACGATGGGCGTCCCGGTGTCCTGCAGGCCGCTGAGCCAAGAGCGTCCGAGACGGGCGAGGGAGTATTTGAAAGGGTGGAGGAAGGTGCCGCACAGCACCGCCCAGAGAAGCGGCCGGAGAAAGGCCTCCAGGATGAAGTACACTAGCACCGCCGCCCCGCAACAGATAGCCACGAAGATAGCACCGGCGGCAGGGTCCGGTGACGAGACCTCCTCGTCGGCCATATTGACCCCAGTCTTGTCTTGTTGTCTCTTGCGGCATGTGAAAGCCTAACGTGTGACGTAACCATGACGAAAGGCACCATGGGAAACGGAGTTTGGGAAGAAGCTCATGTTTCGCTAATTGTTTAGGGGTTTTTGGACGTTTAAAGCACCCCCGAAGATGTAGTGATGTTTAGATTTGCAGCTGCACAAGAAGCAAAACGGCTGAGTGCGACTAAACTGTTGAACAGTGTGGGGTTCTGCAACTAAATATAGCCTACAACAGTGCAGGGGACTACCACTATTTGGGGGAATGACAAAAATGGACAAATAATTGACATTAAAAAAAAATCTGGAAAAAAAAATGATACCATAAAAAAACAAACAAAAAAATTATGAAGAAGCATTTGAACAAAAAATAGATTTCCCCCTAAAATCTGCAAGTAGGTGAACTGCAAATGATAAACTCTAAATATGTGGGTACTGTGTGAATGACAAAAATGGACAAATAATTGACATGAAAAAAAAATCTGAAAAAAAAAGGGATACCGTAAAAAAACTAACAAAAAATTATGAAGAAGCATTTGAACAAAAAATAGATTTCCCCCTAAGTTGTCTCTTGCTGCATGTGAAAGCCTAAGGCGTGACGTAACCACGACGAAAGGCACCATGGGAAACGGAGTTTGGGACGAAGCTCATGTTTCGCTAATTGTTTGGGGTTTTTTGGACGTTTAAAGCACCCCCGAAGATGTAGTACTGTTTACATTTGCAGCTGCACAAGAAGCAAAACGGCTGAGTGCGGCAGTGAGTCTGTGTCACCATAGTGCTGCCAATAAATATGGTAATCAATACAACCGACTCAAATATCCACTCTGTGGACACAAAGCCCTGAAAACCCCCAATAAACCAAAATAATAAACAAAAAAAAAACATAACAGTAAAACAAAACAACGTGACAGCAACAGTCCGGCAAATACTGACAGAAGCCAGAGAACGAAATACAAGCAAAGTGTCAAGACAACAAAGGACACCCAGAAAAGACGCAAAGGGTTGAGGGAGCTGGTTGGTTAACACGAGGGACCCGGATGACAAGATCAGTGAAATCAAAACCCAATGAGGAAGACAAAAAAGGCACATGGGGAAAAAAAACTAAACGTAATCCAAACAAAAACAGAATACAGACAGATGTGTTTGCGATTATCCATGCAGTGAGTCTGTGTCACGATAGTGCTGCCAAAAAATAAGATGATTATTACAACAGACTCAAATATCCACTCTGTGGACACAAAGCCCTGAAAAACCCCAATAAACCAAAATAATAAACAAAAAAAAACATGACAGTAAAACAAAACAACGTGACAGCATCAGTCCGGCAAATAGAGAACGAAATACAAGCAAACTGTCAAGACAACAAAGGACACGCAGAAAAGACGCAAAGGGTTGAGGGAGCTTGTTGGTTAACACGAGGGACCCGATGACAAGATCAGTGGAATCAAAACCCAATGAGGAAGACAAAAAAGGCACATGGGGAAACAAAACTAAATGTAATCCAAACAAAAACAGAATACAGACAGATGTGTTTGCGATTATCCAGTTTGATAGTGTATTGTCACTCAGTGTCCGGCTGTGTTGTATGCCTGTGCCTGCCACCACAACATCTATCCAGGTACGATCATCAACTTGCATTCTGTTTTAGGATTTATAATAATGTCGAATGTGGGTCTAGTATTGCAGAAAGGAGGGATGGACAGGGATTGACTACCGACAAAACAGTTTTGGCACGTTTTATTTGAACTTTTAATGGTATTATGTAGATATCACTGTAGATAGTACAGTATATTGACATGAAAGGCATTACTATACAAATTTTAATCCCTGAAATTCAATCCTCCATTAGGGATTAAAAATGTACAATGAATAAAAAATAATTGTAATGTTTTATTTTTTAATTCAACATACCCAGCCAATTGCACAGCATACTCTAAGTTATTGCAATTAGTATATCATACCACCATACCATTCATCAAGTTTAATATAT